CATCCTCACCACATCTTCCTTTTTCCTCCTTGCCCTTCAGCAATCTATCTGCTTCTTGGGGCAATGAAGGAAGCAGGCAGGGCTGAGGCCAAGCCCTGTTTCTAAGGAAAAAGGCCAGGGAGAGAAAGGTTTGGGACTAAAGAATGGAGTGGGAGGAGAGCCTTTCTCCTCCTCCTACTGCCTGGAGGGACCATCTGTCACGCAATAAAGGCCTGTATTGCTCAACTACAGAGGCCAAGCTGCATCTCAGCTGCATCTGCAGAAGATGGGATGGGGGCTGATGAATGCCGTTCCTCCAGCCACAGAGAGAACTACTTTGCCTCTCCTTGAATGCACTCTGCTAATTTTTCATAACCAGATGTTGCCTCTGTAATGCAGAGTCCAAGTTAAACAGGCTTTGTCTGCGTTCCCAGACAAGGAATTAGCAACCTCGAAAGGAAGGGATATTAAGAAAGCATTTGAAAATAAAGTCATAGTTCTGGTAAGTAAAGCTAAATCAAGTTCAAGGGGACACTAGTTTTAAACCACACATTGGGTGTTACGCTTTCGGCTTTGAAAGACATAAAAGACTCAAAATGTAGCAGTCCAAAATATAATGGAGCCACAGAAGTCTGCATATAGCGGAATTCCAACTGCAAAAAGCTCAGAAATGCTGTGGTAAAGAAGAGTATGTGATCATCAGAATATTTCAAAAGAAACTCCTCAGTGCTCCTTCCAATGCCCTGGAAGTCCATACTTTTGCAGGACAATAGACAAAGAAATGCATCTCTCACAGAGGCTTGAGGAGCAAAATCAAAATGTTGCATCTCATTTTGTCTGAAAGCAGAAGGAAATATGAGATCATCTTGTCTTACTTGGTGTGTATCACATCATTGATTTCTACTTGGTCACTACTACGCAGAGCTTGCTAACTTGAATCATGTAAACGTACATCAGGTCTCAAGGGACTGAGCTACTTTGTGCAACAGGGAGAGAATGTGAGAGATGAAAAGGGGGATATTGCAATGACAAAGGCAAATGCTAACAAATTACAATCCAGCTTCCCAAGGTGCCTGTCTTTCTGAGGGGCAAATTCTATTCCCAGACTCCTTTTGGGGGTTACTGTGTTCCAGGACAAAGGCTTGCTGCCTTCATATATGCATTTAATCGAGTGTTGCACATCAGTCCCAATAGTAGCCTAAAAAGTGAAAATACAAAGCAGGTGCCAAGCAGATCAGGGAACAGCAAAGATTGCCAGTACGTTTCCACAAGTGAGTATTTGGGAAATTTCCCTCCTGAAAACTGACTGCCACCAGGCAAGAGCATTTGCAATCAAGTTGAATGAAAAAATAGCAAATGTTTAAATGGATTTCTTAAAAGAGAACCCTTTCTCTATATCCTGCTCTTGCACATCATTGCAAGACTCCTGTTCAGGATGAACTCTTGTATTTTGAGGATGCATTGACTTGGTATTTGTATTCTTCATCCCACAGCATGCACACCTTGCACTATAGCACTGCATCCTGGGCAACTCTCAGCAACACCAAGGAGGAACTGGCTTTCTGATTCAGCAATTGTGCAGCTGACGTACAGTTACACCCTTTGAGAAACTTCTTCAGAAAAGAGGCAAGTTTCAGCTAAAGTGCATACAATCCATATGTATGTCATTACTCACAATGCAGTATCATGCATCGCAATTGAGAAATTCAGTCTGCTCCTCATATTTTTGATGTTAACTACTACCTGGGTTACATTAAAAATGCTCACCATCTGAATCATTCAAAGGAATACTACACCATTGTAGATATGGAAACAGTGTATTTGTTCATAATTTGATAAACTTATCTCTTTTCAGATACAGAGACCGGTCCTTCCTCAGTAGTGTTGCGCTAGTTAACCAAACTGAATTTCTCAGGAAAAAACACTGCCTTTATTTATAGCAGTGTCTAAGCCAAAGCACACAGAAGTAATAGAGCACTTTGATGAATTGTGCCAGCGCTTAATTCATGTGCCAAATCTCACCACACCTTTGCTTTCTGCAGGTGTGGAGCAAATTGCCTCAGTAATACCTACACAGGAACATCGCCACACCTCTAGCAACTCATAAGGTCTAAATACGGTTAGAATATGTCAGCAAAGATTGCTTGGCAAGGGAAGGCTTGAAAACTTACGTGTCGTATGTACATAACAGATAGCTATCTACCCTATTTTAAAATAAAGACACGTGTTCCCAACCAAAGCTTTATAGGGAAAACAGATACTCTTATAAACTTTAAAAAAACTATCAGGATGATACAAATTTATCCCACATAAAAATCTTCTAGAACATAAAGCAAAACCTGTGACAATCATTCTAGGTGAAACATAGAGGTATTGTTATATTTTAGTTTACAAGGTTAGGAAAAGCTCGTGCTGCACCCTCAATTAAATTATGATAGAGGGGCCTCCTTAGCACAGGGGAGTCTCAGCACCCCATCATCCAGCACCCTTGCCATCTCCTCGGTGTCTGCACCCCTGTCCTCGTTACAGTTTTGTCCCTGCCAATAAGAGAGCTGTTACGAAAATAAATGTCAAACTTCACACAGAGGTTAAAGAAATGTTACATCAGACCTCCAATGGGATTCCAATGTTCTCAGATTTCAGAACTCTTCTTTTCCCTGTGCCTCTCACCTCCTGAAATCCTTAGAAAGGTTTGGGGACATTTAAAACTCTTTCGTGTGTAAAACCTACTGGCCTGCTCTGGCTGAGCCAGAAATGTGGGTAGACTGCTTTGCTGGATGAACCTGAAATTATTCCCTCCCAAGTAAATAAACAGTGCTTTTGCTGGTAAAAAATAAATAAATAAATAAATAAATATTAGATATCAGAGAAATTGTTTTCCTTCCAACATCAATTTTTCTTTTGAAATATAGAACACCTAAGGTCTGATTTAAATCAGGTTTTTAAGAACTATGAAGAACTGGTAGCTAAAATAACTTCCTGATTAACAAAAAAAACAGCCATGGCAAGTTGTATCCTAAAATTCCGTGAAAACAGAAGCTACCAAATCTTTTTCTCAAGACCCACAAGAGCCTTTAGAGCAGTTTATAAGCGTTCTACATAGACAGTAAGAATTTCACCTACTCCTGAGCCCAGGTGCCCATGAACAGAACAGCACACTGTGTAAGGAAGAAGTCACATTGACTTGTGCTAAGTTACACTGAAACTGGAGGAAAACAAAATGCTTTTATGCAGCTGAGAACTGGCCAGGGCGCTGATGTCTTGCCCGAGTGGAAACATGAATGACCACAGTGAATGAGCCTACTGGTTTACTTCCCACAGGAAGGATACTACCAGCACAAATATCAAACTTGGAGTGTGCTGGTGTGTTGACTTAACGTAGAGTGGGAGAGCTGCTGCTACTGAGTCAGCCGCAGCACCACCCACTGAGACACGTGCCTTCTGGTGTCCCTCATTCAGTCCAATCCAGCATTTCTGCACATACAGGACACCTCAGCCGCCTCCTGCAACACAGCGAGCAGTGTTACAAGATAAATTCATCCCTGCTTTAAAACCAGAAAATCCTAGGAATTGCTCCAAGGGATGAAGTTGATCCACTGTATCTATAATTTGTTCAACAACGTAGCTAAATTTGCAAGGATGACTCAAATCATTTAGGCTTTGGAAATCACTTAAAGCCAATATAAACAAATTACAACTTTCCCAGGCGCAATGGAAGCAATTAATTCTGCAGTGAACACCTTTCCTGTTCTCTGGAAAACATAACAGATGCATCTAATTATAACCCACACTGAAACATGCTGTTTTTGTGTAGCTACAATTTCAAAACACCCGAGGGGCAGGAAAACACCATCCTAATAAAGTTATGTGGCTGCTCACGAGTAGGAAAACAACTTTAGCAAAGCTTTCAGTTCCCAAGGTACATTGAGAAGGTTCACCACTGGCAAGGTGCCCTTTGCAGCAAAAACATCTTATGCCCTACAACTAATTTTGCAAGAACTCCCACATCTCGTTCCTTAGCACAGGAGTCTCTGTGCCAGCTACCTTCCTATAACATAAGCCTATGTTAAATACTGATGGACAGTAGGGCAGAATAAAAGTCTCAGAAGGAAGTTTATGCTTAGGGGATAGACCTTGGGACTGAGTCTTACTCAGTGTTGAGGAGGAAGCCCTGGAAATACAACCAGCTCCTATCTTTGTATTCAGGGTGATAATATCAACAGAACAGGGAGATAAAGAATAAAATAAAGGGCAAAGGTAGGATTACACAGAATTTTTCAGTCAGAGGTGAGAGTGGATATGGACAGGACATCAAAGACAGACAACAACACGACTGCGCAAAGAGTCAGGGAAGGAGATGTTCTAGTAGCCAGGACAAGAAGAAAAAGAGTATCTGACAGAATATAAATTTTCTGGAATTGAAAGTAAGGAATACATCTCTTAGGTGTTATATAGGTCAAACAGCAGCTTTCAGATTAGAGCAGGGAAACTGAGACAGGAGAAAAGAGAAGTCTAATCTAAAACCCACATCATGTTCTAGTGACATTGCCAGTGATAAGAAAACCAACAGTCTGATGCTTGTTTCTCAACCTTCAGTGTCTCACAGTGAAAATACTTCCCTGGTTGTACAATTTTATAATTCTCCAAGGTTAACAAAATTCATTTTGCTAAAATAAAAACCCACCAGAAGTGACAAATACTTTATCAGTAGGAAACGGACAACAGAAAAACCTCACAAATGTGATGTCATTGTCTGTTCCTCAGAATTTTTTTCTATTAGAGTAATCATAAAAGCAGGTCAGCTACTGATTATTTTTTTTTTATCCTCCAAATTGCAAAAGAAATGCTGTTTCAAGTAGTGATGGTTCAAGTTGCTACTAGCCTGTTGCCACAAAAATGTTTATAGAAGTATTTCTGCAGTTGGTTTTGTAAGGTCTTTCTGTGGTATCATTCTCACCATCACTTCACATCCTACTCTGAGATGATTCAGTCCTTCCATAGGGATGTGGCCTTCAGGGCAAAATAAATTGCATAGTTATGAGTCATAAGAACCTTTGCAGAACTGGCCAGGCAGAGTATAAATTCAGCCTACCCTTCGTGTGAACCGCAGAAACGTTGGAGACACCCAGAGCAGCAGTCTTCCTCCCTGCACAAAACAAGGTAACTGTCATTATTTCTAGAGATTATTTATTTCATGTGCTCTTGGATGATGTTAATTTGTTGACAAATGCATAGAGAAAAGGCAACAGGGATCTGAATGGGAAACAACAAATGCTTGGGAAAATATTTTACTAAGATGGTACAGGTATGGTCTAGAAGGGGCAAAGTCTTAGAAATATTCAGGAAGAGCAATTTATTTTACATAGTTATGTAATTTCTAGAGCTTACTGGCTAGCATATATGTCATAGCAAAGTGAGAACTACTGTGTTTGCTTAAATTGGCTAATTTATACCTGTGCTCTTCAGTTCTCATGTACATGAGGACAGCTCCTGGTTTGCAAACTGCTGAGGTCAAGAACAATTTATTCTGTGGCCATCCTATACCAACCAGAATAGCTCCTAGTCCATGCATAGGGCTTTCAGCTACGACCACAATGCAGACCGTAAATAGCAGCACATGTGGTCTACTGATTAAGGAAACCTTGTCATGCTGAAGATTGAGAAGTTAGGACCTGGTCTAGCACCATAAGACAGAGTTTCAGGAAATTACTGAAAGTCAAAAGGGAATTTAGGATTCTTACCATGCAGAAGTTGGGGTGGTGCAACAGTGTAACCATGCCGATCCAATGAGTTTTCATTTGTTCCTCCTGATTGTCTTTTGCGTGGATATCTGTCTCTCCACGTGAACTTCTGCTGAATGAAGAAGTGTTCATACACTATGAATAGCAAAGTTGGCAGAAACGAATACTGTAGCAGTACTGACAGGCCAGCACACTTTCACTCAGTTCCCTGAGGTCATAGGAGAGATGAAGAAAATACCTGGCACAGTCTAGATTTTGCCTTTGGTCTAATTAGCATACACTACCAGTGAATCTCAGTCATGCAGGGGATCACTGTGCTGCACTAGCAATCTTATAAAGGACACAAATTTTGAAAATACTTTTAGAAAGCTTTCAAATCACCAAAAAATAAAAATAAATATAAATATATATATAAAAAAAAAAGGTGAAAAGAAATCTGTAGATACATAGCAGTCACAACTAATGCTTACCTAATAGCATCTTTTCTCCCTTTCTGTGCAGGTTCAGAATAATGGAAGCTTTAAATAAAGCAAACACAAACTTTGCTCTTGACTTTTTCAAGCATCAGTGTCAAGAAGATGGCAACAAGAATATTTTGTTTGCCCCTTTGAGTATTTCATCTGTCCTGGCTACCGTGTATTTGGGAGCAAAAGGTAACACTGCAGATCAGATGGCAAAGGTGAGTCTGGGCCCCGAAAGGTCTGAGAGGGTTGATCTCTTGGAATAGCATCCTCTATTGTGCAGGTCAAAAGATAGAGCCTACTGTAGCTTCCTCAAACAGAGGCCCCCAACAAATGGGAGCTGGTGAGTTTGCAACTGCTAAGGCAAAAGAAGTTGTCCCACCTGCTAAGGCAGCAGCTAACTACTAAGCTACAGGACAAAAGAGGGGCAGCGTGGTCTCAAAGAAAGGAGAGATCTCCTGTTAGGAAGCAGGGAAAACAGAACAAAACAAAAAGCCATGTGTCTTCTGAGAAGTGCTCCAAGTTTAGATGTACCCCTTTGCAGCCAGAGTAAGGTCCATGTGCCCAGAGCAAGGTACTCAGGGCATGAATATGCCCCCAGCGTTTTCTTGCTTTCTGATATGTAGCAGCTCTCCATTTAGACTTTTGCTTTTCCCTATCTGGAGGTAACTGCCTCTTCCCAGTCATTGTCTTGTCAGCCCAGGGGCTAACTCAAAGCAGGCAAATTCCTCTAGAAATGCCAGGCACATTAGAGTTTTGCCCTGCAACCCTCAGCTTAGTGAGTTCAAGCCATTTTGAAAGCATGGGCCTCAAGCCTAACCAAATTCCATATTCAGTCAGGACCAGATGCAAGGGTAAAATCTGAATTTGGCTCTTTTCATCACCAGTCCTATGACATCACTGAAATATTTTACTGAAACAACAAATTTTCTGTTGTTGCATTTATTATTGTGATTTCCACTATAGGTACTTCACTTTAATGAAGTTGAAGGAGCCAGAAATGTCACCACAACCATAAGAATGCAAGTCTTTTCCAGAACAGAAGAATATCTATCAAATCGACGTGCCTGTTTCCAGAAGGTATCTCACCAAATCTAGCTATCATGCTATGGGCATTGTAATATTTTGTTTTCCTTCCATGTTTGCATTTGCATGTGTTTGCCTTCCTCAAATGCAGAGCACACAATTAATTGGTACAGCATCCTATGGTACCTTCACCTAATGCAATACTTACGACATACTTCCCATTTTTAGGTAGAATTGCAAAATCTAACCTCAAATTTGCAAAATTTAAAATCTAACATGACTGTTCCCTGTCAATAGATCTCTTGATCTTTTTGAAAAGGCATGGTCCCTGTCTGAGAGAACAAATCACAACAACAGAGCTAGTCTCCCACACGTTTGATTGCAGCATCAACATAACCAAAAAATAAAATAAAATAAAATAAATAGAAATATTTTTTACAGGCTACCTATGCTTGATACACTTCAGAAATTAGTCTCCATTTCATTCAATAAGTTAGCAAAATAAATAGGCATATTGGAATTTCCCAAGGTAGACCAATAGTTGCTTGCCATAAATCTTAGAGAAATGGAAACTGACATATTCCTGAGACATTTCTTTGACAGAATAGCAGGCATCTTTTATCAAATTAACTGTAATTTAAGAAAATGGAAAAATCTGGAAATCAAGCATAATTCCTCTGAGTCAGTAAAAGCAGTTTTTCCTCACTGACAAATCAGCCATGGTGGTCTAAAGTTCTCCCTGCTATTTCCCGTCATACTTATTCTTCATGGAGTGAGCCATTTCCCTGAAGTCTGCCCACAAAACCCTAGTGGCAGTGAGTTTTGATGAATGGGAACTTGAATCTGCATCCCACACTCAAATCCCACAGTGGGAAGTCTTATTCTGGGGCCTACGTCAACAACCCACTTATTCTACATGTACAGGAGAGGGAGGGATTGTTCCTCATGATTAATGCTCATCCAAACTGTAAAAATTAGGGAGCACTGGAGGCAGGGCAAAGGGACCATTCTAACAGCTTAGAAATTTAAATGTCTGTTCATGCCTCTTACTCTGATGTAATGACAAGATGAATACAGTACAGACACAGAGGTTTAGTTTACTATTTCACAGCTTGATTTCCTTGAGGTGGTTTGAGAGTTTGAGTCCACATTCATTTAATCCTGTTATTTTCGTATAAACAATTTACCACAATTGCTACAACATAAAGAACTTACAAAATATTAACATTTAGAGCAAGGCTAAGAAAGGTAGGGGCAAACTTCCCATGCAACTCGACTTTCATAAATCTTATCAGGAGTCACACAGCCAAATCTGCATGCATAGTTTAGCAATTACATTCTGTCTCTCACTCTCTGCGTATACTTAGTTTTGCAACCTCCATTTAGAAACCCTTTAATGTTTTACATAGTTCAGGCTCTTACCACTTGCATTCCAAGGCTCTTACAGAGCCTATAGCATACCTGAAACTTTTAGTAATTTCAAATGATTCTTTTCATAGCTGTCCAATTTAGTACAACTTTTGCATTGCAGTAAAGGCAATACTTTATACCAAGCTGCATGAGGAGAGAAATTAGAAATCTGAACAGCTTTACAGAACAAATGAATAACATTTTTTTTTCCTTCTCTCGAAGACAGAAATTGGCAAATCAGGCAATATCCACACTGGGTTTAAAGCACTCAACTTGGAAATCAACAAACCCAATAAAAATTACATGCTTAAAAGTGTCAATCAGTTATATGGAGAAAAATCACTGCCTTTCAGTAAGGTATATACGCCATTTATTCATAATATAAAGTGCTAATCAATGTTTATGTTCTATCTATGACAACAAACCATAAAGGATATAATTTTAAATATTTTCATTACATCTGCCAATTGTATTATTATCGGTAACATACATACTTCCTGTGAGACTCTTCCTGAGAATTCAGACACTATAATTTTACTTTTATGGGATGTGTATCTAATTTCAATATGATTCACAGATGTGGTTAGGTGAAAACATTGAAATTGCATTTTTCCACTAAAAAGAATAATTTGTTCTTTTGACAAAGTGCTGTTGCTTGTAGCCCATGTCATTTTTAAGGTGTTTTCACTTGGCTAGTTATTTATTGGTATTCACATTGGCAGGCAACAAACAGATGTCTCTCTTGCAATGCAGGAATACTTACAGTTAGCCAAGAAATACTACAATGCAGAGCCACAAGCAGTTGACTTCATGGGAGCAGCAAATGAAATCAGAAGAGAGATCAACTCCAGGGTTGAAGAGCAGACTGAAGGTAAGCTCCAGCCTCTTCTCTCCTAGTCCTAAAGGAGGCAATTTCACTATTGAACAATGCCTCTGTACCCCAGGGGCCCAAGGCAGATAAACAACTCATCTCAGAAATGTAAATCAATCACTACTTTTCCTAAAGTAGTCATCTGCTGGAAAGCCCTTACTAAAATTCTTCCTCTATCTGAAAGGGAGAGGAACGAGGCTTACTCTTCTTTATAAATCAAGGTTAGCGTGTATTTACAAATAATCTCAAGTTAAAAGCATGCCATATCAGCAATTATAATTTCCCTGGCTTACATCTACAGAAACTGTTCCAACATTTACTCTGAAACAGTAAAGCTGCATAAATATGTAAATGTCCTTTGGTTTTCTCTAGGTAAAATTCAAAATCTGTTGCCTCCTGGATCCATAGATTCACTCACCAGGCTAGTCCTGGTAAATGCACTCTACTTCAAAGGAACTTGGGCAACAAAGTTTGAAGCTGAAGCTACCAGGCAAAGGCCTTTCAGAATAAACACGGTATGTGAATATAATAATTTATATATTAGACTGCATGTGGAAAAAACAGTGAAAAAGATGGAGGAAAGAATTTCCGGTAATTCTTTAAATCCACAGAGCATTAAAATTAATTAATTTAAATCATATGGTATAATTTCTTTACTACATCTTAAGTACAAAGACTGCACACACATACTAGCACCAGAAGCACACGTATAATTGTCAGAAGCTGACCTGAAACAAACTTCCATTTTCCTCTTAAGGCAGGAAAAACAAGGTGAACAAAACCATACAGACTAGTTCTATACATTTTCATTTTTAACTATACAATAAATCAGAGTGAAACACAACTTCCTATAAATATGTGTCATCCTAGACAGCTCAGGTAGCCTGCTTAGCCTCCAAGCACCTTCCCAGAAGACCAGGGGCTGTCTGTAGATCCTGTGTCCCACCTCCAAGAGCTACAAGGATGTACCTTCACTGTGCTATTTCAACTTAATGCTTTACTGTTCAGAGTACAAATTTCAAACATTTCATTTGATTTGTTGCAGCATACAACTAAACCAGTGCCAATGATGTTCCTGAGTGGTAAATTTAATTTTACCTACATAGAATCAGTCCAGACTGATGTTGTTGAGCTTCCATACATCAATAATGACCTCAGCATGTTTATCCTCCTACCGCGTGACATCGCCGGCCTACAAAAGGTAAGGGGCAGAGAACTCAAATAATGTGAGAAACAAGAATGCCATTATTTACTTATTTTATGCACATCCGAGGTAAAAGATTGATCAGACTCAAGGAAAAGCAAACCCCAAACTTGGCCCAACACTGTGAAATTGGACCTCTTGAAGATCTTTTTAGCTCTTGGCATGTGGCATTTCTGTGATTCCTAATGTTGCTCATGGCCTCTGGAAAGAGGCAGCCCAAACCCAACAAGACTGGCTCTAATTCCAGATGAAGAGCAATGAGGACAGAAAGCCAGCCGGGCTGAGATTCACTGTCTGTACCAATTCAGACCTGTGATTTCATTCAAAAAGAAAAGCCCAAACTGAACAGCCTCCATTACTTTTCAGTATGTCCAGAGCTAACATATCTATATACTGCCACCTTCTGTAAAGACACTGATCCTGCCTCCAGATAGTAAACTCATTAAATTCTCATTTATGTTAATGGGTGTTCATAGAGTGGAAAAAAAAATGTTTTCAGTAAATTCTAAGGTATACAAAAGACAGAAATGTGAGCTGTGTGAAATGTGAGCAGACTATTGTTAACACTGTTGTGTTACAAACATTTAACCCTGCTATATCCCCTGACGATTACTGAGAACTGTTCAAATATTGCATTGACCTACTATAGAGCAATATACTCCCTTCTAGTAGAAAAGATCTCACAGTTGGCATTTCACTGCTGTTTTTTATATTTTTGTAACAGCTTGAAAAGCTCTCAATTTAAGAAAAAAAAAAAAGAAGAAATAAGCTTTAGGGCCCAGGTTTTTGAACACTCTAATTTTCTGATTCTCTTCTTAACTAACTGCAGCTAATAAGAGAATTGACTTTTGAAAACTTGTCTGCGTGGACCAGCCCGGAATTAATGGAGAAAATGAAAGTGGAGCTGTATCTGCCCAGGTTCACTGTAGAAGAGAAATATAACCTCAAATCTGCTTTGAGCAAGATGGGGATACAAGATGCCTTCACTGAAGGTCAAGCTGATTTCACAGGAATGTCAGAGAAAGATAATCTGGTTTTGTCACAAGTTTTTCACAAGTGTTATGTGGAAGTCAATGAAGAAGGTACAGAGGCAGCAGCTGCCAGTTCAGCAGCTCTGACATCACGAAGCCTTGGTGCTGCTATTATTTTTGTAGCAGATCACCCTTTCCTTTTCTTTATCAGACACAACAGCACCAAGTGCATCCTCTTCTTGGGAAGGTTCTGCTCCCCCTAAAAGACTGACTGTTACTAAACCAGCCCCTGCAACAACAATAACAAACACAATCCACAGCATGAAGAACTTCTCAACAGCCTGTGCACTTTACCATTTTCCTGTACTGTTGACAATCTCTGTTAGAAGAGAGCACATATTAAAAATAACTTAAAAATAAATGTCAAGCCTCTGGCTCACTTTCCTGGACAAAGAACCCGAAAATTGTAGAACGGTACCCTAAGCACCAAAATGTGGCAGAACAACATTGATGTGTCTTTTCAGTGCTTTCCAAACCAGAATTGTCACTATGCACAACAGACCAGGTTGATCTAAAAGAGTACTTCCCAACACACTTGCTTTGGCACATAAGAAGGAAAGAAACAGGAAAAACTCCTTCCTGCAGAAAGATCTCTGTTAAGCTGGTTGTCCCGGGAGGGTCACCTCAACCACAGCCCTTCTCCTCCTCAGTTTTGTAAGAACTTCACAGCCTAGCACAGCTGGTAATGAAATAAAACTGCAAATTCCTCTGTGTTCCTGATACTGGTGATTTGTTCTTGTGTGCAAAGGGGCTAATACATGGACTTTCTAATCTCTGCCCTACATCAATTGGCAAATACTGAAACAACAACACAGAACTGGAGGAAAATAAAACATGTGCCTTGAAAACCTCTCCTTTGTCTTAACCTTTCCTTCACTCAGCGGTTGCCAGCCCAGCACTGCACTGCTTTACTTTCTTTTCCCTTTGGCACTTATTTCACTGTTTGCAGGCACGATCAAACTGGAGAATTCAGTCTGTAATGCTAACTCTCTAAGCACCTTCTGGAAGATTACATGCAAATCCCCCTCTAGGTGTTCACTGTTGCCATAGCTCTTTCTCCTAAAAAGGAGAGCATCCTAATCAGTCTTGCACATCTGTAGAGGATGCTCCTAGCTCTCTGTATTTAGAACAGAGAGGGAAGGACTGGGTCTTGTTACAGCACATGCACATACCAACAGCATCTCACTAGAAATATCCCTTCTTGGGAAAGCAGGACCCCATTTTCCTTGCAGAGATGAGACTGCTGGCTGTCAGTGAGTCCTTTCTGCTTTCTTCTGGCTCTGCTTCCCATATGGGAAGGAGCACAGGGACAGTGTTGTAAAGCAAGTGCTTTATTCCATCCCCATCCAGCCTCACAAGTGCTGCATTCTGTCTTAGCTGTGAAACATGTCACAGGATCTCTGTGTGTCATTTCCAACATGTTGTGCTTTGCCCAATGGAATGGCTTCATGTCTCCATGGACAAGCCTCTCAAGCACTTTCTGGTGTTCCTCGGGAACATATAAAAGCCATATCTAAGAGGCCAAGGAAAAACAAAACATTGACAACATGCATCCAAACTCAGGCACAGGCCTTTAAAGTCATTGGAAATATCAGTCACCTTTTCTATTTTAAGCACAGTTGCAAAGATGACAGAGTTAATGTCCTCTTGGCGGTGCTGGGTCCTTACCAAAGGCAAATGGCAACAAAACTTGGAGGGTGAGTTGCATGCTGAAGAACAACATTTTCCCCTGGTGAGCAGCACAGCACTGGAGCAGGTTGCCCAGGAAAGCTGGGGAAACTCCACCCTTGGAAGGACTGTGGCTGACCTTATCTACTGATGGGTCTGCTCTCAGTGGGAGTTGGCCTCTGGAAATCCCTGTCAACCAACCTGTGTGATTCTCTCTCCTGTTCCTCTGCTGTCAACACCCCTTTTGCCTTCTCATCTCCATTTCTCATCCTCTCTGGCATTCTTGCATCTTGACTAGCAGAGGGAGCCAGCTTGCTTGCTGTCAGCATACTTCTTTGGAACTTGGAGTCTCTCCAGCGTGGCCTTTCTCACCACCTAACCATTCAGTGAGCCTTTATCTTATCCTGATTTCTTGATGACTCTGCTCATCATACTAAAACCACCACTTGTTTAATTTCTGGCATTTCTTCATTGCCTTGCACAACACTGATTTCTGCTACTTTTCAGAAGGCTTGACCCATTCTGTTCCTGTAATCAGGCTTGCAGCAAAATGCTTAGCACACAGTACAGTTTCCTTCCCTTCCTGCATTCCCCTTCCCCTATCCCCCAGACTCTTACAGATGTTGCCACCACCTTCCTCTTCTCCCACCACCCAACACCAGCCCTGCTCTCTCCTGGGACAGCAGAGTGATGACCACTATGCCATGTTTGCCCCTCTTGTATTCTTCCACTCCATCTTTGCTCGAGTCCTGCCAGTGGGGTTGTTTCAGTCCTTGTTCTTCAAGGACATGCAACTACGGTGCACCAGCTCAATGTTTTGCAGTTTCTCATAGGTGTTTCCCAGCCAAGAATGCAACAGGATTTCTTCACCAAGACAAGAAGCAGGGGTGCCCAGCCCTACCTCTTTCACGGCTTTGCCTCTGCCTGTGCTCCTTCTGATCTTGACTCTGAAGCTGGACTCTCAGAGTCTAATTCAGTCACTGATATCTTGCCATTTAATGCTGATGTACCTTGTTCAAAACCCAAGAGTAACAGCTGGGCAAAGCTGGAGAGGTGAATGAGGCCTACCATAACTTCTTACGTTCAGAAACTAAAATCATATATTCTGGTTCCATAACCCTTTTACTAGGTTCATTTATTTTAAAAATAGACAAGCTGTCTACACAACATCAGGAGACCATTGGAGTAGATGAACAGTTTTGCTATCCTATCAGTAGACTACTGCCGTGGAACAGCAAAACTGAGATTATAATCCACATTGTCCCTTTGAAATGCCTAAAACTAAAATGTGACAAGGTCAACAAGGAGGACAAAACTGCATGACATCTTTTGGGGGTTCAGTAGAGAGCAGCTTTGTGTAGGCGGGAACAGCCTGGATGTAGGGGAGAAGGAAAGGGAGGTGCAAGCCATACCATGTTTCTAAATTTATTCATTGCTTAACACACGGGCACAGAACCTGGCTGAGGACAAGACTTAAGTCTTCTCTCTCACGGGATCACAGGTAAATATTTAAACCAATTTAAGTAACTTTTCTGATGCTTTTAAAAGGTGGTCTGTACCTTGCATGGCTGTATAAGTAAATTGTAACATACCAGTGTTATACTGCAATCGTTGCTCTTGATATATGCTTTTCTAGGTGTCAAGTTTTAGAGAAAATTAACTTGTCTGGCTAAGGAAAACAGTTAGTTGAGGGCAGAATTAATCACAAGAAGGAAGATTTTCTCAGGGCAGTAACTGTCTTATTAATTAAAATCTTTAGTTTGATAAAGGTGTCCCATACTTCAGGTGAAGTAAAGGCCATTTTCATTCTGCAACAGCACAGCACTGTGCATTATCAGGCCAGAGACTCAGAGGAGTATACATTAGAGATGAGCAGAGAGATTTCTATCCTGATGCTTATTTGGCCAAGTTCTCAGAGGAAATCACTCTGTGGTACAGATTTGGTATAGATTTCACAGTGACTGCCAGAAGAGCTGTAGTGGTTTGGTAAGCAACCACTCCATAATTACCTGTAGACTTGAGATATTTCTGCAGTGCCATTCCATACGTATCAAGCTTTCTTTACATAATGATGACAACAATAACAACAACAACATTTTCTGGTCTCTTGATTGGAAAACATGAAGCAGGTACTACTGGGCAAATATCCCAAAGTCTGGAATACTTCTAGCTTCAAGGAATTCACCAATCTCTGGGGAAAATAAAATAGTCAGAACGTACAGAAGAGGTGTCAGTTAGACTTCATGAATAAAATACTGCAATCTAAAAGCAAATAACAACTTAGCCATACATGATACTAGTTGAAATGGGTAGCTAGACAGGGAAAGCCTATAAGCCTAAGAATTATGCATAAATTCATTCTCAGTATCAGCTTTTAATTCTATATAGATCAAAAATGAGGTAGCAGGAAGCTTCAATGTGTTATGACCCCATGCACTAAAACCACAGAGATATTTAGATTCCCCTGAGAACATTACTTTGATAAATAATTTAAGAATGAAATGAAACAAAAATATGCAGCTTAAAAATCTGTACCCTTTTGAAAACCAAAGGCAGAAAGAAACACAAAGAAAAATGCAGCTCTGTAAAAGAGGACATACATATAATAATAGAGAAATATCAGCTGAATAACAAAAACCTAACAAATTTCTGCTCCTAACAGGTGGCAAACAGTATCTGCATGGAAGATAAAACATATTACTAGGCTATTAGTTTTAGTAGGTGCCCATGCATGGTGTTGCACATGTAACATTTCTCACTAACATGCATTGCATGCATCATTTTAAACATTCAAACAGTAAAATTCCTTCTGTTGCCTCTTTCCAGATTGTAGCAATGGAACAGGTCTCAGAAGCAGTTGGCAAGTTTACAGTTGATCTTTTCAAGAAGCTGAATGAGACCAACAACGACAAAAACATTTTCTTTTCCCCCTGGAGTATATCATCTGCTCTGGCCCTGACATACCTGGGTGCAAAAGGCAATACAGCGAGAGAGATAGGAGAGGTAGGTTGCTCTGTGAAGCTGTGGTGCCCAGCATTGCCCAGCACTCCTGTTAAGACTTGGGGAAATGCCCGGTGTTCCTCTTTGGGGAAAACCATTGGGCTTTACACAAATGCATTGCTACTGCTGAGTGCAACTGCTGTGGAAGGGAGTTCAGCTTTGTGGCAAGCCTGCATGAACGCTGATGTTCTGGGAGGGGAGCAGTGCTGTCCTTTGTTACTCTGTGGGATTTACACATGCTACAACTTCAGCATCCCTTTGATTAGTCACCCAAGCAGAATGAATTATCATAAGGAGTAAAACAAAACAACCATTTTATCTCCATTAGGCTTTAGGTCATGCAAGTCCCTTCATGCCTGTTTCTTACCTTTGGAAACTCTGTCTGCAGGTTCTTCATTTCACTAAAGCTGCGGGAGCTGCTGGGTCGTCTTCTGTGGCCAGACCTTCTCGGGGGAGACCAAAAAGAAGAAAAATGGTATCTATTAGAGAAAATAGATAAGATAAAGAATCTCCAGAATCAAAATGTCCAGATATAGCTTTAACAGTCCAGTATTTCTCACCTGTATCTGTCGTTATATTTAAAGTACAAAACCCAACATGCTTCACAACACGTTCAAGTTCAGCTCTCTTCACTCAGACTCAAAAGAAGCACAAGTCGCTGGGATATTTTGGAAGGTTTACTGTATGGTAAACCAGTCATTAACAGAGCCCTGCAAACTGCAGTGGTGGTAAATTTGGAGAGAGAAAATACAAGAGAGAGGAACACAAATCTCTCCCCACATGCATCACTTTGCAAGTTTTGAAAATTTCATTAAAAATGTAATTGTTAAATGTATGGTTTCTCTTTCCAAGGACCCTGATCATGAGCAAGCTGAAAATATCCACTCTGGCTTCAAGGAGCTCCTGACTGCCATGAACAAACCCAGAAACACCTACTCACTGAGAAGTGCCAACCGTATCTATGTGGAAAAAACCTACCCATTGCTGCCTGTAAGTTGAACAGTTTTACCTCAGAAAGGGTTAAGAAAAGCTGAAAAAAAAAAAAAGTTTTTCACTGTATTTACTTGTCATTAATGGAACAGGTTTGAAGCTGTCCCCCAGTACTTCACATAAAGAGCCCTGAGTTCCAGTGATAAGCTTCACTGGAAAATACCAGTTGGCCTTCTCCCAGTATATAAGGATCCTTTGACAGTAATGCAGGATTCCTTTTCATGCAGTATGGCTTTATTATTAGGAAATTTATTATTAGGATTTGCAACACATGCAATTGTAAATGGGACATCAAAATAAGCACATCCATGGGACATGCACTGTCTTTCTCCCTTCTCCAAATTAAACTGGGAAGAAGAACAGGGAATTTTCTGTCTTTATTTCTTAACTGTTAACTCACAGCCCAATAGAGGGCAAAGAGCTAGATCCCACAGCCCTCTATACACAAGAAGTTAACATGAAATCCAAGAGCTAACAACTTTCTTTTTGGGGCTGAAAAAATACCGTACATTATAGAACTTCTTTCTTTTTTTCTTTTTATTGCCATTTTCCAGACATACATACAGCTCAGCAAGAAATACTACAAGGCAGAGCCGCAAAAGGTTAACTTTAAAACAGCACCTGAACAATCCAGGAAGGAAATCAACACCTGGGTGGAAAAGCAAACTGAGGGTAAGTTGAGCTTGACTCCAACATCTTCCTTCTGCTAATAAGTCAGCCTGACGCTCCCTTTGGGCAGGTGCCCTTGAATGGGCAGCAAGCAGAGATGCAGTGGGAGGGCAGAGCAAAAGCAGCACTGGGACAGCCCGAAATACCTGATGCAGACCTCAGTGAGGTCTTTGGGGAACTTCCTCCAAGGCAGGTGGGGATGGGTGCCTGCCTGGAGGAACTTTCCTGCACTGCCCAGAGGTGTGAGCCTCCTTGTGCCTGGCCTAACCTGCTGGCAGAGGCAGCACACGGCTTCTGCTCCCTGCTGCTTGCCATGAAGCTGTGGCAGCTTTGGAAACAGCAAACAGACTCATTGATTTGTGCCAGGGAAGTGAATTAGGGGGTAGGGAACTGAGGCATGGACTTTTTCACTACGGAGCTGAACCGAAGGAAAGACAAACAAAACGGCCTCCACCATGCTACACTGGAATAAAACCTGACTTTTCTGATTTCAAAAGGTAAAATCAAGAATTTGCTGAATTCACAAGATGTGCAAAGCTACACCAAGCTGATCCTGGTAAATGCCATCTACTTCAAGGCAGAATGGAAGAGAAATTTAACGGAGGAATAACAACACGCAACCCTTCCGACTGAGCAAGGTGAGCTCCTCTTTGCCTTCCTTGCAGCGAACAGCCTGTGACAGCACCTCCTGCTGCACTATCTCCATTCATCAGTCCTTACGTATCCCTGCACTAAACAGACTCTCTGAAAGCTGGTTACAGCAAAACATGGCAGTGGTCAGCTCACCAACATTTATGGCAAACGTCAAGACACTGCTCATGCAAAGGATAACTAGATCCAGACAGATTAGCAGTTTCCAGAAACTAACTAGAGTCAGGTAAGGCCCTTTGTGCAAAACAGGGTTAAAATTCCCCTCATCGTCAGCCCCTTGGCACAGAAATGAGTGTTGTCTTCTAAGGTGTGATGTTGAAGAAAAACTGCACAACATTTGCTCTCTTAAACCATAAGCCATTTCTCTGCTGCTGTAGTGTTGGGTGGCTGTATGCCATGCCTGCTCTGTCCCCCTAATCCTGCAGACATTTCTCTCTTCCTCCCTTCTGTGGGCTGCTGTGTATGTTTCTGGGGCAAAGAGAAAATCAGTCAACTCATTCCCCAGAAAAATGCTCTGGGGCAAAATGCCAGATCTACAATATTCCCAGTCAGAATAGAGCTGTGGAAAAATTATGACAAATTGCTGGTATAAGTCATCTTCATTCTTCTTTTCAAGGCATAATTTGTAAACCCATAAATAAATACTTTACAGAACACGTCTAAGCCTGTGAGATGATGTATATGAGACATGTATTTCAGTTCTTATCATGGAAACAAGAACTTCAAAATGATTGAGCTACCGTACGTGAAACGTGAACTCAGTATGTTCATCCTACTTCCCGATGACATCAAAGATGGTACTACAGGTCTGGAACAGGTAAAAAAAAAAAAAGCTATATCCATTTTGTATCACCACCCAGATGTTAAAACAAAAAGGACAGACTAGTGACCATATCTCCCCCTCTGAGGACATGCAGTTTGGCTGAATTAATTTCTTTTAATACCTATCTCATCCTGCTCTTGACATCTGTACGTAACTGGACCAAGCCATTTGGCACACAGCTGGGAATCTCCCAGCAACTTCTTTCACGTGATGACTGAAATAAAAGAGAAGACAGAAGTACTTCAGGGGATGGCAGCTGCAGGCGTTGGGTGCCTGTATTTTTTCT